TCTTTATAGAGCCCAACCCCAAACCCCAACCCCAACCCCAACCCCAACCCCAACCCCAACCCCAAAGCCAACCCCAACCCCGAACCCAACCCCGACCCCGAACCCAAACCCGGACCCAGACCCAAAGCCGAGACCCGAGCCCGAAGCCAAACCCAACCCCGAGCGCAAACCCTTATAAGAAGATTAGGATGGGAATGAAGAATATGTTTTTATTGGGTAAGCCGGAGTCAAGCTTCAAGAGTGTTTTCCTTTACTTGAAGATAGTAAAATGTAAATGCCACATGATTGTTCTTACATTCAAAGGGGAGCATATTTACTGAGTGTGGATTAATTCTTCTTCACTAGGCCTAAGAGTTAGCAGGATTCATGAAAAAACAATGTATAAATATTAAGGACTCGTTTAATAACAATGCAGATCGGAAGAATATCCTCAATATTTTGGGTAAATTGATCAGAATATTGAATAAAATTGCTCATATTATTATCAAAAAAATAATATCATCAAATAAATAATTATTTAAACATTTGTTCTTGGTTTAATGAGTGTTCTTATTTATGAATTATTGCTATACAAAAAGGTAAGTGTATTAGAAATCGATGTTGTTTCTATTTCGTTCAAAATCTCTAGGTTTATATAATATTCAAAGTTGAAATATGATATGGAAAATTATATTAATATTAAATGGAATAATAAAGATAAAAATAATTTACATTGCACTACAATTCTTTGAACTTATGCATGCTTTTAACTCAAATATTTAGATTAATCAACTGTTTCTCAACCTTACTAAGAATTTAAATTTACTTTATTAACTATAACATCGCAATATTTTTATAATATGTATTAATCAAATTGTTATATTATTAATTTATAAATAGCTTTATGTGCATGAAATAAGATTTTTATTTATTAATACTTAGAAATAAACTACTCAAGATTCAGTATATATCGATTTGTAAGATTAAAAACGACTCTACTTTCTGATGATATGATAGTAAATACATCATATACATTAAATGATATTAAAATATAAATTCAAATATTTTGATTTTTTTCATTCCAATATTTTAATATTCTAAATTATATTTAGTTAGAAGTCGAGTTCCATGTCACCAATAACTTGCCATTATTACTCATGGTTCCATAAGTTCCTAAGACTTCAAGTTTTCCAAACATAATAACTTATTCTAAATTGCATTATATTAATTAGCCTAAATTGTTAAGATTAATAGAAATATTAATTAAATTTACACATCTCCCATTTTTTAGAACCAAAAGATTCTATGGTTTGATGTATAAAGCCGGAAAATAATAATCACAGTTTTGTTCTCCTCCTGAAACTGGAAATTCTTAATACCTCTCATAAATGCCTTTTCTTGTGGCTTTATAAATATGAAGATGAGTTGATGACTCTTAAAGGAACATAAACAATTCATTTGTAATGAATATTATTCTGGAACCTCCTACATCTACTTAAATCTTCTGACATAATTAAAATTTGCCGTTGGATGTAGATTTCATTATTATTATTTTTTTTTCTCCTCCGCAAGATATTAATTGTTTATTATCTTCACTAATAGATAATCCTAAAACTATATCAGTATGCTCACAAATGGTTTGTGTACATGACCATTCATTTTTCATTTTATGATATTTCCACACTTTAATAGTTTTATCGCTACTCCCAGAGATAAAACTTTCATCATTTTACAAAATTAAACAGTTCACATAAGAAGCATGCCCTAACAAAATAAATTAAGCACTCCATTATTTTTGTTGAATCTGACTCTCCACTAATTTGTGTGGTGACCATATAACGATTCTTCCATCAAATGAACCAGAGATAAATTTATCATAATTCTCAGTATTTTACATAAAATTTAAAGTACTTACTATGTTTGTGTGTATTCCTTCCAGAATTTGTAGTTAAATACATTCGGGTTTGTTTTCGAGTAACTCATAATTTGATTTGCTCTAAATATATGGTAATTGGATTATTTTGATAATTGAACACATTGCAACTATGCAAAGTGTGTTAATATTATTAATTGCGATAGCATAACATGTCTCTAGTTATTTTATAGACCATTTTGGCAAAAGAACATATTCAGATTCTTTTTTCTAATCCTTTATGTTTTTTGTTGTTTTTGTAAAAGTGAATTTCTTTTTTTTGACTGTTTTAGATATTTTGGAAATTTATTTAGACAGCATTTACAAAGTTCTTTATTATATATTAAAATAACTTAGATATTTTAAGAGCATTATCATAATTATATCATATTTTTGAATACAATTTTCTATATTCATAAATTTAATTACGTTTTTGAAATTCAGGAATTGCAATTTTATTAAATTAAGATAAGCAGCAATAATGTGCTGTCTTCATTTATTTTAAACATTATTTTGTTATATCCTGCTCTATAATGTTTTGAGATAGATTATCTATCAATAAATTGTTAGGTCTACTATATCATTCTGTATGTACTAAGGAAGCATGTTAATACAAGAAATTTATTCATTTCTTTTTATAATACTTAAATTTATAAAATGTTCATGTGATTAATTTTAATAATAGAATGAAGAAAAATGTTTGGGTTCAAATGATATTAATAGTTTCCTTAATTGGCAGTCAAGGCTAAATTTGTAAAGTACAATGATATCTAACATAGCTAAAATAAAATTTTCAAAATCTTTTACAAATGAATATTTAAGAAACCTATCACTTATATCTTGAAGACTATTTTGTGGGAGAAGGGCTAAGTTATAGTTTAAATGACAATAATGAATTCTTTTAAATCAATCGCCCCTAAAATTAAGGTGGTATTTAAGGAGAACCCATAAGTTTGATGCCAAAACCCAAATATGTCCCTTAATAAAAAGAATTCTTATTATTATTGAAAATCAATGAAGGGGATTAAGACACCTATGAAATTCATAGTCTAAATAAATTCTCTAAAATAAGGAGGTTCTCTGCAAGTGAATTAATTGTAAAATTTAATTCTGATCGCTGCAATCAAATGAATAGCTTTGATAACTTTATTATAATTACATGCTTAGATTATGAAGAGGAATAATTAAATTACCTGATATTTGATTCGGATTATCAACTGATTAAAACCTTTAAATTTGATATAAAGTATGCACAATATGAGTCTATATTAATCTCAAAATCAGCTGGCAAATACTTATGCACATTGATAAACAATGGTTAGTAAAAAGACAATGAATATATCTCTAATTATTCAAATCTAATAATTTTTTAGTTAGAGACATAAAATCTGGCTGATTCAAAAACAACAATAAATATTGTTTAATTAAACTAAATTCAAACTTCAGCTGATTTTATTTCAGATTTTGATTTAGTAAAAGAAGGATATCGTAAATATTATTTTTACTCTAGTTTTTATTTCATATTTTAATTTGGGAGTTCAAATCCATTAACTAAATGAGCAAAAGTTGTATTAATTAGATATTTCCATAAAAAAGAGAATATTGGGTATAAGAGCTCAGAAAATATCATATGGTTTTCACGAATATAATATTGTCTATTGGAATGAAGAGCATATATCAAACTTTTTGTATGAGCCAATTAAGAATAAAATTGTAAAAAGTTAAAATTATTAAGATCTCATGGGAGAAAAAAATATAAACTAATTAAATAAATTTATCTTTAAATTTTGTTACTAGTGTCTTTATAAATGATAAGTTTATAGTTGTGTCAAATACTAATGGTATAAGTATTTACCCAACCATTATAAATGATGTTAATGAAGGTATGTAATTGTATTATTATCCATCAAAATCAGCATTAAGTTACTTCATAAATATTATCGACTACTTAATTTCTATTGAGGAAGGATCATTAATTTTATACATGATTAATGATCCATTAATTAAAATAACAGCCTCAGAACTCTAAAAAATTCCTTAGTCCTTCAAAATTAGGGCAATATCTAACTAATTTGATAAACCTCAAGTTGAATGTCCTATTCTTAATCTATATTTTCAAGTGTAAATAGACTATAATCCTACTAAAATTTAGTATATCTACTTTGATCAACCATTCTAAGTTTGGTTCACTTAAATTTAAAGAGGAGTTTATTAGGATGTTGGGTCGCCCTATCAATAGATTAAAATCAAAATCGATTAAGATAAAATATAGGAAGTTAAATGGAATTAACTTATCATAAAAAACGGGTTGCAGCTTCAAGGCTATGTCTCTAATTCGAACTAAGTAAAGGTTGAATTTGATAAAGTTCTTACAGAGCATAAAACATTTTAAAATTAATACGATCTTGGTGATGTGGCTTACATGAAATAATAGTTGCTCTATCAATACCAAACAGAATTTAAATTTAGAGAGAAATTTTATATGATCACCTAATCATATTTTAAGCTAGATTTGTAGGAATGTGGTGTTAATGATCCCTAAAATTGTGAACTTATCCTTTCTCAGAATTTAGAAATCAGAAATACAATCCATATGATTAGATTCAACATTCATAATGATTATGCTTACTTAGCTATTGATTAATAATTGATATATGAGGCTTTTGAAAATTTACAATTGTAAAATATTAAGAATTCAAAAATAACAATATTTCGTTTTAAAATGAATGAGAAGAATAAGTCTGTTAAAGTATACAAAATTTCCCATTTACTACATCAAACTATTTAGATTGATATTATAGATGATAGACTATACATGCTTTACAAATCCTAAGTTTAGAATTATATATTCACATCTAAAATTACTGAAATTAATCCTACTTTAGATATCCTTCAATTGAGTCACAAAGTAAACAAATGCCAAAACTTTGCTTTTAATATAGAATTGTATGGATACTTTTTATATTATTTTACAGTTGAGATAATTGAATAAGATGATGTGACTCGCAATTTTGAACTTTTGAATGTGATTAATATTGAAGATGGAAAATTTGAATTAGTAAATGCAATTAAATATAAAGAGGGTTTGCCATTGATAAAATTTAAATATTCTTACGTACTTTATTTAACAAAAGGTGGAGTTTATTTATCATAATTCACCGATATAGTTGTGACTTATCTGACAAAATCAAACTTCCTAACTTTTGCATTTACTTAATACAAGGATAAAGATTATGAAAGATTTAGAAAAAAAAACTTGATTGTATTCCCTGGTCAGGAAGTACATTAAGAAACGAATCCCAGAATAAAAAGAAGTTCTAGCGAAATATTCTTTTATTTAGAACCGGTATATATTACTGCAGACTCTAACATAGTTATTTACAATATGAGATCTACAATTCTAAATTGCTAACACTTTTCGTTAGCAGACACTTTTTTAGATATTGAGAGAAATTATGTTACTACATTGAAAAAGGATATTTTTGCAATTCACAAATCCCCAGGAAAGACTTGGGTAATGAACTCATTATTAATTTAATTTATAACACATGAGCCCAAAATTAAAATAAATTACCAAGCTAACACTAAAGAGAACCCTCTCAAAATTGAATTTACTGTACTTTCAAATTAATTGGGACCTGAAGAGTCTCCTTAATTTTAATTAATAATAGAATCTGAATAGTAAAATTAAGAAAATAGTTAATAAGAAGCCAGTCAATAATAAAACAATTAATAATAACAAAATTAATAATAAATTAATGAATTGAATCTAGAAGAATATTTTAGAAGATTGTTTGATTAATTACAATAAACTAATGGAATTTAGTTTGGCACAATTTGATATTATATAAAATATAAATATCTATTTTAAGTTAATTATCATAATTAATTTCAATATCTTCATTCATATTTTATTTCATAAGTTTCATACTTGTTCTCCTTGCCTCCCCAAAATACTAAGTATTCTCCGTTTTTTGTTATAGTACCATAACTACCTTAATTTTAATAATCCAATTCTTCAATAATTGACAATCTTCCATTTCTTTCTAATTTTAGTATGCAAATATGGAATATATGTCTTAAGCATAAAAGATTCCTATCTTTATTATAAACGACAGGGAAGTATGGCCAATTTATTTATGCTTAATTATCTTTCTTGAATTCAACTCTCTTCTCTATATTTTCTTGGTATACCCCTTCACTACTTTCAAAGACACAAACATAATTGCTCTTATAAGCCAACCAGATGAATGAACTTTCATTTAAAAATTTAACATGCCTTCCTTATTCTTATAAAGAATTGGTAACAACCTACTAAAATTTCCACTAATTATTTTATCCTTTCCTCCAAATTATAATTGTCCCATCAAATCCACAAGAAACTAAATCTTACTCTGATTCATTTAAACTTAATGAAACAACAAAGGCAGTATGCTCCACTAAAGAATAAAGACATTATAATTTGTTTTCATTGAAGTCTACCATCCATACTTTAATTGATTAATCAATGCTACCTGAAATCAATTAATCCTCTTTTTCTGTTAAGATCAAACAATATATAGGATCTTTATGTTCCTAGTATTCTTAGGAACTTTCCCATTGATTATTATTCTATCCTTTCCATAATCTAATTGTATCATCACTAGCTCCAGATACGAAGCAGTTCTATACTTTGCTATATATTAGACAATATATATGCTTTTAATGTCCTTATAGAGTATTAATTAATGTGATTTTTCCCTGTTCAAAATTCCACACTTTGATATCATTATCACTGGTTGAAATCATTATCTTCCCTGTTGGATCAAAAGCGATAGCTTTGCACTTCTCTTGTTATTCTGTTGATTCATCAATACGTACTAATTTAGTTGGGCCTAATCCCTTTTATTGAATTGAATCGTCTGATTAATTTATTTCGTTCAAAATTTCTTGACACTTTTAATATTGTGGGTATTATTGAAATTATCCTAAATACAATTTAAATTTAGTGCTCCAAGCATTATTTATTTTTTTAATCTAATTTTGTAAATTGATCTTTTCATTCTGGTCTGTTTGTTATTTCTATATTGAATCTAACTCCTTGAAGAAGCTATACTCTCTGATCCAATGATAGAACAAGTTATTACTTCAAAGCCATTATTTGATTATATAATTACTCAACATGTTTGAAATCTACATCAATCATATTTTCCAAGAACTGTTAAATAATCATTCGTTTTTCTTCCATCATTTGAACAGCTTTCTTAAATCCAACAACTTTTGAGCCTGGTTCAACGAAGTCAATGCATTGATTACACAAGAGTCTATAATTTAAATCTAACTAAGAATCCAGATTAACCATCACTGCAGGCTATTTATGAAGGCTACATACAAGATCATTTTCATTTTCTATCATTGTTAGATTTTACATTTTTAATTAATTTTTATTTCTAATAAAAAAAAATCCCAATTTGTTCTCAGATTATACTGAAAATATTATATTCAGTGGTTCTTTATTAAAATTATTTAAAGATAATCATAAAATTAATTGAGATTGTTTTAAGAATACAAACTTAACTATTTATTCTAGATTTTTTACATTCCTTAACATTTAATTTTAATTGTGTCTTATTACTTATATTATACATATTCAATAATATTAATTTTTAAATGTCATTTTAGAAACAAATAAAATTTAAAATACATCTCATTGGTCACCCTCGGTAACCTTTTTGAATTATTTTTATTCAGCGTTGGCAAAACAGCTATAATCACACAATTCATCGATTCTAATATTGATAAACTACCAGTATCCATAGGTATGGAAATTAAGGAAAAGAATCTTATTTTCAATAATTTAATTGTTACTCTTTAAGTAAATTAAAAATTAGCATTAGTTTTGGGATGGGCCTGGTCATGAAAAATTTTAAAGAGGTGAGGTTTATCGAGGGCTCGATTGCTTGATTATAGTCTATGATAGCAATGGTGAGGATCCAATAAAAACTTTGGATTATTGGAACAAATTATAATTAGATTTAAGCAACAGTAAAGATCGAGAAAAATTTCCAATTTTTGTAATCAAAGTTAATAAAAATAATATTGTTGAGAATAATGAAATATTGGAGAGCATAGCTGTTTTATAGTGGTGCAAATAAAATAGAATCAAATAATTTTTTAAAGTATCCTACTAGGACAATCTAATTATAAATGAAACATTCATAGAGATTACAAAGATCCTATTAGGATAAAAATCGAAATAATTGAACATAGGACATTTAGCAATTAGTTTATTTGATGATTCTTCTAAAGACGCATCATCTAAAAACACAATTCTGAAATCATAACTAAAATGCAATATGTAAGACAGATTTGAGTCAATTCAATGTTAACATTAGCATGATAGTCCACCAATAATTGTACTTCTTGATAATAATCTTAAAGGAGTCAAAAGGTTGGTATGTTCATAATGCATTAATGATATAAGAGGACCTTTTAACGGTATCAATATAGATGAAGCAATTAAAATAATTGAAGAACAGAAGAATAATTTACTTGAAATAGTTTCTGATTTTAGCTAGAAAAATATTAGCCTTTTAAATTGTTTAATTGAACAAATATTATAATAGAAAGCTTTAATTTTATAGTCAATGGATTAAATGATAAATTAAGTTAATAATTGGATCGATGAGATAAAGTAGCTTGAGATAAAGTAGTGCTCATACAGCTTTATTGATGAAATAGATTAATTGAATAAGTCTATCGAAATTAAAAGAAACATATAAGTTAAGGAAGTTAGCTAATTGATTGACAACATTAACTTATCCTATGAAACAAAAATATAAAATACAAATTAATTATTACAAATACACTTGCAGAGGACATAAAATATTTTAAGATCAATTTCGTCTAGTGCCTCTTATTAGGAATTGAATATAATTAGAAAAAATAATATAGAAAAAATTAAAGAATATAATTAGTTAGATTATCAGTTAGTTTCAGAAGTTAGGCAATAGGAATAATGTCATGCATTAGCATTTAATCATAATTAATCAATTATGGCTGCTAGTTTAAACAACAACATAGTTTTATGGAGTTTTTAAAAAGGATAGCTATTAGATAAAAAGGCTAGCTTATATGGTCATTAAAGACAAATAAAATGTATTATTTTTAGTAAAAAAAAAAATTGGTTGTTCTCTGGGAGTGAGGATAACACAATTAGAAGCTGGAAAGAATAAGAGACTTGGTTTAGTAATAGTAAATGGGAAAGCAGAAAAGCAGACAAAACACATACGAATTGGGTAAATGAATTACTTTTAAATGATTAAGAAAATGAATTAATATCTTGTAGTGTAGATTAGACAGTTAAGATCTGGAAAATTTAATACGATTCAAATTCTATTAAATTTGTATAGTCTCTCGAGAAACATTAAAAATCTGTATTATCAATCAGTTTAAATTAATCTCAATAATAATTAATCTCTTGGGGTGAAGATAAATAAGTTGTTTTATGGGAAAAGAACTATATATAAAAATGGTAATTTAAAAATATAGTTCTCCTATACAATTAAATTCAAGGAATAAATATAGGTGTTAGATTTCTTATGGATCATTAAATTATCTGCAAAACATCTAATGGATAGATAGAAATATATAAATAAACATAAGATTAATATGAAAGTCATCAAGTATTAGATTTTGATGTATAAAATTCTGATGAGAACTCATAAGAAACTCAAATAAATTACAATATTTAAACTTAATTAATAGTAATGCAATACAAGAAATGTTTTTATTTTTTCAGAAATTCTTACGATGATAATAAATTGTAATAAGTTTGTTAACCTTTGATCTACGAGTCGGAAGTTATTTTTTTTAATATTACAAATGATGGAAAATACTTTGTTGTATTTTAGCATCCCCTATTCAAATTTAGAATATACGAATTGAAATATATTCATATATAATGATGAAATTTATGATATTTTTATGAATATCGAGAAATAGTTATTTTGAATCTTTTAGAATAAGAAAAATAAAATAAGGATAAATATCTTGCTTAAAATTCCTTGAATTTATAATGAGGTTGTCAGTTTATAACAAAAATACTTCCTATTTGGAATGAGCTTTCTGTGTATCTCATAATTTTATTGTTAATAAATCATAATCAGCTTTTCTGGACTTTTGGTAATATCATTTTTATTCTTCATTCAAGAACAGATTCAATTATAAATAGTCCGTTTCCTCTATAAAATTTTATTGTCATATTTATTCTATGGCTCTCTCTGAATTCTTCGAGAATCGATTTTCTGATTCTCTTCATGACTTTCTTTGAGATTTTCAATTTGTATTTTAGATATTCCTCTCTGGTTTTTAATCCTTTTTAATCAAGAGAACACATCCAGATCTCAAATTATAGAATCTATTATTCATAGAATTAGTGTTCTAAGGAATCAAGGCCTATATTTTATGAGAATCTTAATGATTTTTAGACATGGAAATGGTTGTATCGACCTAACAACTAATGAATTTGTTAAAAGCCTCTGATGAGACTAATTAAAATGCTGTTCCATACTAGCACCAGTTAAAAACTTCCTTACTCTTTTTGTATCAGCTCTATATTGACTTTGGAATTTTAGTTTTTATAATTTTGAAATATTGTATTAAAATTTATATTTTTCAAAATTTTTAATTTTATTAATTTATTAAAATAAGTTTATATAATATATGATAATTCTTAAAGTAATAATTTTAACTATAAAATATAGATATGACTTACTCACTTTTTATTATTTTCATATTCTTCAACATTACTAAAAAATGCTTTTTCAACTCCTATTCTGCTTGATTTTGTACTTAGAATTCTTGAACTTTATGGTGATATTACTTATCCGCAAGTTATATTTGTCAATATTTACTTTGAAGTTCTTAATTGTTATTTTGATAAAAAGATTAAATGGTTCTTCAATTTGGTAAAATTACTCTTTAATTTTTATTGTTTTAATTTTTCTCTTTCCAAAAACTTTCCCAAAATTAAGGCGAAATATATATTTGGTACTTTCGAATTAAGAAAAAAATGTAATTTATTCAAATAAAGGAATTAATATTTCTTAACATAGCTTCTTGCAATACCAAAAATAAATGGATAACAAAGTTTGATAAAGCACCCAATAATCAAAATTTGAATCAGAATAGAAGGGAAGATATAATTCTTTTATTCACAAATACTTTTGGTTAGGGCTAAAAACATAGAGATTGAGCAAATCTGAGCTGTTTATAAGTCTAAAGAATTATATTTTTATATGGTGAATGGCTAATGGAAAATTGCCAGGATTTCATATATTAATAAGCACAATCCTAACAATGATGCTTTTAAGACAATCTCAGTTTCAAAGTTTGTCATTATAAAAATTATAACAGATTTCTTGAATAGCTTGATCAATTCCCAGTAATACCTTTCTTATTTATATTCATTTAGCAAATAACAAAGATGTTTTCTTAGTTTAATTTTATCTAACTTTTATCTATTTAGCTTTAACAGAATAAAAATCAAAATAGGAACGAATATGCCAATTATAAATATTCCAGGAATAATAAAATAATACACCCACTATAAATGAACTGGAGAACCGTATTTCAAGGATACATCTCCTTATATGTAATTTTGATTTGATACTTCTCGTTTCGAAAGCACAGATGAGAACCTTTTCATATTTTAAATTTTACATTTTAATCAATCCTGCATAGTTAAATACATACAAATAGAGTGCACTATTTGAGAGAATACTTATATCATGCTTTTGTTTCGTAATAAGAGTATGCAAAAATTACCCTGCAATTATGAGATTAAATAGTATAATCATCAAGATTAGCATTGTGAATATTTTTAATTATACTATGGGAATATTTTGAATCGAAGATATATAACAGTCTAAATCTTTGGCTATAAAATATGAAGTGTCGCTAGATTATTCTATAAAAAGAAGGGAAAATGAAAATCTGATGTTAAATGTAAAGATAACTGAATAGATCCACAAATAATTTATCAACATTTTTAATTAAATACTCTCCTGATCTAACATTTACTAATTTATTTACCTTAATTTAGTTTAAATAATATTTTGCTAAATCTTTATGCAATTATGAGTTATGAATATAGTTAATTAGATCTAGAGATACTTCTTAAAGACATCTAGATTGATATATATGTCCTATAATTAATAACAATCAAAATACCATAGACATATTATTGTAGTTGGAAATATGCTGGTCCAATCAAATCGACATTCTCTACAATTTTAATCCCATTAGTTTTTATAAAAATTACCCTATCCTCTTATGCCATATCTATCACATTCTTCACATAAAGCCCCTATGTGTCCAAAACTACATGTGTAATCTCCAACCTACCATCCGCCAATACAAAAGAATTTATTTTTGAAACAATATTCAACATAATCAGAAAAATTATTAGGTCTCCAAAATCCTGGAAGCAATTGAATCATATTTGAAGTAATATCCGAGTACTTGCCTTTATCAAATATAGAACATTTTGTTGCATTATATGTAACTGAATAGTACCCCTAATTAGATTAACAGATTTGACAACCATTATCAACATAAAATTCACCAAGCTGACATTTTAGACTCCTTGCGTAAATCCTATATTTTAAAGTATCTTTTTATTCTTTTAATTAACAACTTATATCTATCTATAAATAGTCATAATCTTATTTATATGGATCTAAACTAAATGATAAAGATCCAAAATCAAAAGAATTTGTTTGAATATCAAAAAATAAAGTTTTCTGAATCTTTCTGTCAGTAATCTCCATTTTGTCTTTAGTTATTATCTTATCCTTAACTATGCATGTTGAGTTGATAAAATTATGCATTACTTCGTTTCTGCTGTTTTTATAGGCTAAACTAATATCCTTAATTAAAGGTAGATATTTCGATTAGCGTATGTCAAAAATTTAAAAAGTTTTAATTACTTAATTACTTGGAATCAATAAATCTTTCATATTGATTTAACTACCTTACTCAATCATTCTGTATGGTTTTAGGTTCAACATATTTATAGATTAATTGTTATTAGTTACAGATTATGATGGATTCTCCAATTTATTGATGTAAAAAGCTAAATGATTTGGAATTTCTATAACATTATTTGCATACTCTAAAGCATTATTGAAAAGTAACTAGGATAATACAAAATTATTTTTATTTAGATTGCAGTTGCCCTCCAAATATATGCCACCTCCAGTTTTAGCTATATTTCCAATAATGATTGATCGATTTACAATAAAATCAGAAGATTCAATATCGATATATAAACCACCTCCAAAATCCAAAGCTGTGTTGTTTATTAGTTTGCACAATTTAATGGATAGACTCACTTTTTATGAATATATACCAATACCTTGAGTCCCATTATTAAAAAGGAAATTAGAATTTTTAATCAATACTTTTTACCTAAGATAGGTATTCGATGAGAAATGTAGACATCCAAACTTATTGATTTAATTATAATTGCAATTAAAGTTATCAAGCTTAATAAATTGAATATCTGATAATTCAAAAAAGACAAGGCCATTTTAACATTATTAACAATTATTATGCTCAAAAGTAACATCTTGAAAGTAGATTCCATTTGAATTTGAAATACTTTAAATATAAATGAATGAACCTTCTTCTTGTTTATCATTCGATTAAATAGAATTAACATAAGAGTAAAAATAATCTTGTGAATAAGTCTCATAAAATTGTTAAACTATTTTACAACCTCGTATATTGTACATGCTTTAGGAGTAAGTTGAGTAAGGTGTCAAATTATTTTAATAAAGCTAAATATTTTTGATACTTAAATTTTCAATAACAATCATAGATTTTATTTATGAGAATTACATAACTTAAATGAGATTGAATGAATACAAAACTGAGATTTTGTCCAATTTAACATTATTTAATTTTAATTTTGGTAAATTCGCAAAATAGAAGATAGAATTAACTATGATTCCTTCTATAACAAAGTCTTCAATCAAAGTAATGCAATTTTGTAATGAAATTAAAGAATTTTAATTATTTATAGTTTCTGTAATTTCTTAAATGGATATATCCCTAACTTTAGTAAAATATTCAGTCCATACTTATAAATTTTAAGTAATTCGTATATTTTTTATAGTTACTATGTTTTTATTAGCTATCAAAGATGAAAATTATATATTGATTATTTAATTTAACAATGAAATACAATTTGTTATATTTGTATCTTAGAATAATATGATATTTTATGATTTTGAAGGAGTAATAGTGAATATCAAAGAAGCCATCCTATTAAAAATATTTGATAAAAAAGCATTTACTAACCTAAGATTTAATTTACTATTCGATGAATAAATGCTAAAGCACCCTGAGCCTTTTTCAGTTGATTAGGGATTATTTTCAACTTAATCTATTGTGATATTCTATAAATCTATACAACCTGCTTCTGTAGTAGTGATTTCAAAAATTAAGCTTTAAGTTGCAAGAATTTTAGAAAATGAACAATTTATACAGGATATGTTTTAAACTAAAAATGATCCTGCTCCTCCAATATTCTTTATCTATAAAATTTAGAAAATTATTTAGTTTAAATTATCTTAATGCAGATTTTCGTTGAATATAAGTTCATAGTATTTAACCCATAATTATTATGATAAAAAATTGTGGTTTTGAATTGAAAAATTAGATAACATTACATGAGCTGACATTACTGTAATAAAGGAATTTGAAGAATTGGTGAGTGCATTATTTTTACTAAGAAAATTTTCTACTTTTGTTTAACTTAATGAAGTTTAAATGTATAATAAACTGACTGTTGCCATTACTGCACTACTAGAATAAGAATGTAAAAAGTTTTCTTCAAATTTAATATTTTCTAGTAGAATGCTCTCCCTATATTCAGATTCTATTATTAACAAAGAAATTT